GCGTGTAATAGTTTCTATCTATTATAATATCTATTTCTGTCGTGAAGCTACTGCTTCACGGCAGAAATAGATAGTAGGGCGGTGGACCCACTCGCGCGGACTCACAAGAGGTCCTACCACCAGTAATTACGCTAATTATAATTTTGCGGGTTTCATTTTTACTATACGATGTTATTCCTTCACCGTGGAAGTCAATCGTGAACATTTGTTGAATTCGTATTTCATTAGAAAAATTGGTACCTGCCTGAGATTCGAACAGTGGTGCTTCGCTCAACACGAATGCACCGGACGTCTTATCCGTTAGGCCACGACGACTTAAACGTCGTGTCATTCAGAGCACACCATGGATTGATCCCAAAGCTGGCAAAAAAAACTCAAGTATAGCACTATATATGAACGCAGTGTTTCTAGGTAGTAAGGATGAACTCTGCTCCAATCTCAGGAGGTGCATGAAGGGATCAACGTGAACAATTTCTCAAAGCCCTCTCATTTACTCATACACTTCTAGTTCACGTATCAACATAAAATGGTGTTTTACCATCAATGTTTGACGTAAGAATTAAACAGGGAATTAGGTGAGAAACATTTCGTAATGAATATTGAAACCATAAACATTATTTACTAAAAATCGTCGAAGCATTAAAAAAAAACCTAATTAAGACCTCCGGAGCGACAACGAAAATTAACTCTCAAAGGGAATTAAATAAATCTTTTGGACCCTAAAAATTAATTCAGACACGAAGCATGCGCCCTTTTCAACGTGTGACCTATTTTCGGGAGTTCTCATACTTATAAAGGCATACTGATTTTTGAGGGCGAAGGTTGAATTAGATTTTCGTGTTAGCTTTTTGTGAATTTTAATTTACGTCTGCGTGAAAGCGACTCTGGATAGGTACCACGGCCCTGTCTATTTCTGCCGTGAAGCAGTAATGCGTTTCGGTCTGAAGGGTAGGACAGCCGTTGTAACTATACTGAGATCTTAGAACTTATATCTCAAGGTGGTTGACGCATTTACGTTGTAGATGTCTATGGACTCCAGTAACCAGTTAACACCAGGTGGGCTGTGAGCTCGTCCACCCATCTAAGGAATAAAATAAAATAAAAAAGACTATCTTTTTCGTTCCCTCACTAATGAGGATCGTGATCATATACATATAATTTGTAACTTTGGGGGGGCTTGACGACAAAGGGAAGATCTTCCACCGAGCGGATGATATTGCTCGGTAGACCGACGGTCCGAATGTTGTTGTTCGGAATTTGTATATATGCGCTTTATCTTGAAAATGTCGTAAGCGAGATTCAGGCATCTGTCAATTATCTTGCGTTGTATGATGGCTACCCGCCACATCACTCCCCTCCGAGACTGGAGGTCGTGTCATTTTTAGTTAGCGTTGTCCGTGCTGAGATTAGCTTGCAAGGGCCAGTGCTGCTCGAAGTTTGCAGTGAGTCGAAACTGAGCTGAATGCTGCGTGATTGTCGCCAGTGCTGCTCGAAGTCTGCGGTGAGTCGAGACTGAGCTTGAATGTTGCGTGCGTGTCGCCAGTAGTCCATGTGTGCAGAGCTGCCACGCCGGAGATGTGTGACCCCAAGCGTTGATGATCCGGTCGTGGGCTGCGACGAACTGTAGCGGCGTGATGAGGCAGTGAAGTTGCGTGCCGTAGGAGCAGGAAGCGCGGTGAGTCGGCTGCGATGGTCCTGTTGAGGCTGCGATGCTGGCTTGCTGTGGGACGACTGTCAATGACGTACTTTTATCTGCGAGAATGCGGGGATTGTGGTAGCCGAAGTTTATGATGCGCTGATGATGAATCAGAAGGTTGCGTGTTCACATCTCGTCGCAGGTCACCAGTTTGGGAATAAGCGACGAAAGGGAAGATCTTCCACCGAGCGGGTGATATTGCTCGGTAGACCGACGGTCCAGGTGTTGTTGTTCGGAATTTGTATATATGCGCTTTATCTTGAAAATGTCGTAAGCGAGATTCAGGCATCTGTCAATTATCTTGCGTTGTATGATGGCTACCCGCCACAGTAACCATTCACTTCTGACCCGCGCGAGCTCAATAGATCGCTATAGAACCTCTCCCGTTGTATCTACAATATTATTACACCATCGCGTGAAGTCAAATTCACCGAATTCTTATCGGCTTATACCCTTTTGAATCTACGTAATATAACTTTTAAAACATATCAAACGATATAATGTAGGGTCAAATACTACAAAACTTATCTTGTCGGATGCGAAACGCCATCCATCACGGCGCTGCGAAGTAGCTACGAAGTTAATCTCTATTCAGTCTAGCATTCATAACTCATTGATAAGCTCCCAGTTAGAAGCTTTTTGCAGATTTGTGGGTAGGATAAGCTTTCAACTTAAAAGTTTCGCTTGTATTTTAGTTAATTCGTTTATTCATTCGTCTTATATTTAAGTTGAACGTATTTTAGTTTGGTTATTTCGAATAAGAACTAGTACCAAGAATATTGTTAGAAAAATCATAAATTTAAAATAAAGCACCTCGTTTAACCCTACCATTAAGGAAAACCTTTGCATTTAATACCAGTATTATGCCTAACGCTGCCGCAAGCCACTCTGGGCTCCAGCTTCCAAAACACATGACAATTTCATTTATTACTTCTAAGAAAAAGGTTGTACTACATAATATATATATTCGTAGTGATACTGCCACAGAGAACATATGAATCAATAAGAAAAATCTATGCGTATTGAGAAATATTCAGTCGATTTGACCGATTTTTTGTTTGTTGTATCTTTTTTTTTTTTCAATTTTTCATTGTTTGGAAAATCCATGAAAATATTTCCTACAATTAGTGATGGCTAATTTTACTGGTGGTAGGACCTCTTGTGAGTCCGCGCGGGAAGGTACCACCACCCTGCTTATTTCTGCCGCGAAGCAGTAATGCGTTTCGGTTTGAAGGGCGGGGCAGCCGTTGTAACTATACTGAGACCTTAGAATTTATATCTCAAAGTGGGTGGCGCATTTACGTTGTAGATGTCTATGGGTTCCAGTAACCACTTAACACCAGGTGGGCTGTGAGTTCGTCCACCCATCTAAGCAATAAAAAAAAAGGCAAGTCTGATTGGGCTTCACTAGTAGTCTTTACTTAATTTGGTAAATGTAATTGTATGTTTGCTTCTTTGCGTTGAAGATGACCGTCTCTTGGAACTCTTTGTCATAGTACCATCAAGTGAGTGGTGGTAGGTGGCGAGAGAAAATCTTTAAGAATGGTCTGATATTTCATACATTTATGTGCTTAAGTTCAACAACGGTCTGCGTTTTTTCAAACAAAAAAACAAAACAAACAAAAAATTGTTTTAAACTAAAATGTGTAAAAAAAAAAAATCTTAAAACTTTTCATGAAAAAATTATACGAAACGAGGTACTTAGTATTAACGTAAACGAAGTCCAAATTCAAAGTTCCAGCGAAAATTTTGAATATTCAAATTGTTTGTGATTAATTTAAAATAATTTACAGCAATCGCTAAATTTGCTCCAAAAATATTATAGAAATTCGCAATTTATTTAATGTTCTGAATTCAAATAAATAAATATGCATTTATTTTGTGTGACTGAGAAGACTTAGCTTGGTGAACTTTTGCAAGTTTAGCTGTATGTTTTGATAATGTAAAACAGTCGTAACCCACCCTTCAAATTACTTCAATTTACTGGTGGTGGTAGGACCTCTTGTGAGTCCGCGCGGGTAGGTACCACCACCCCGCCTATTTTTGCCGTGGAGCAGTAATGCGTTTCGGTGTTGTAACTATATTGAGACCTTAGAACTTATATCTCAAGGTGGGCGGCGCATTTACGTTGTAGATATCTACGGGCTCCAGTAACCACTTAACATCGGGTGGGCCGTGAGCTCGTCCACATGAAATAAAAAAAGTTGTGGAAAGCACAATAATTAATTTCTAGTTCAGTTAATTTATATTTCGAAGGCAAGTGAGCATACGGCCCGCCATCAAAAATACCAAGGGCGCAGTTAAGTCGCCGCCTGCAACTTTGGACTCTTCAAAGTTCGTTCAAAGATGTCAGATACGGCGATCAGGTATTACCCTCTATGGATATAACAGCAAATAAGCTTTAATATTAAATGACAATTTTGAGCCGATACGATTGGTTGGATTTTGTGATCACTGAACCACAGTGAACCGAATAACTCCTCAAATGTCAAATAGTTCAGTCTGTGATCGGCACCAAGCTCTTCCTTGTCTCGACGAGCTTGTTCCAATGCGTATAAGGTTCAAAATCGTTCATCCGTAAAAACACAGACGCATCGCCCTTAACATGAGGTGGCTGGAAATAGACGCGAAAACGTGTTGTTATTAATGTTGCGTGTAACGTGAATGATTTGAATTTTTGCGTGGCTAAAATTAGTTTAGTGACGTCACATAAGTAGTTATAATCCATAGTGCTGACTAACTTACAGCAGTGGTTCCCGCTGCTTACGCTGTCAAGAGTCCGTGGTCAACATGAAGTCGATCATTTTACTGTTTAACTGCCCAACCCTTTAAGTGCTACATCTAAGGAAGGTGCTTCTTAAATAATCTATAGGTATATAGAACATTCTTGCTATTTACAAAAACTTTCTTAATAATTCTAAAGCAGGCAGCGGCTTGGCTCCGCCCCTGGCCTTGCTGAAGTCCATGGGCGACGGTAACCACTCACCATCAGGTGGGTCGTAATCTCGTCTGACTACAAGGGCAATAAAAAAAAAATATATCTCAAATGTTGAATGTATGAAAATTTTAATTTCAACTTCGAACAACTTTCTACGTAATGTCACGTAACAACCAACATTTCTCGAACACGTCACGCGATTTTGAACTCTATTGTCATTAGATTGTTAACACCTTTGCAAATTATCATAAAAAGACAGGATTCAATGACAGCGGACGTATAAAAGCACTTCTGATATCTAAATGCGCTCTTCGTGTGAGTGAGTTCTCCTCGTCTTTTTTTAGATTTCAGCTAACGTATAACACAGTCAGTCAGTATCGCATTAGTTTCGATGTGCTAGGCGAGCGCACAAACGTAAGTTTGAAAACTGTAACAGATATTAGTTTTAAGCCAATGATGAAATTTTGTGACGAAAGTATCAAAAAAAAAAAAACGAAGAAAAAAAAAACGGCTCGTAATGGATTGTGCATTTCAAAATTCGAATTTAGAAATCGTGTTCACTAAAGTTACGTGAATTTAAATGTTAACTAAAGACAGTTCACATTGGAAATTCTTAATGGAATTAAACAGTTATGATTAATGAAATTTAAATCTTAAAATAATACCGGAAACGGATCGGGTGGTTTCTGATTTCGAATTCGGAATAGTTTTAGGAAGAAAAAAAAGGTTATCTATAATTTAAAATAATCTACAAACTGCAGATAGACAGTTTCAAATTTAGAAATAAGTGCAGTTTTTTTTTTAAATATGGTTTGTGATGTGCTTAAAATAACTGTGTTCATAAAGCCAGTGTTGAGTGACATTAATCTGATGCCGTGTTGTGTTTTTTTTTTTTGTAATACTTAATTCAGAGATTTTGATAAGTGAAATAATTTAAAAGTAGCGATTTTAATCAATTTTTGACATTGTAATGCCAGCATCGGTCAGTTACGGTCACTTTTAATGGTTTAATTAATTAATTTAGTTATTTGTTGTTTTTGGATCCCATAGACATCGAATCCTACAACGTGATTGTACCTTTTCAGATCCGTATAAATAACAATCACGGGGTGAGGTGGAACCCTTTTTATGGTGGAAGTTTCAAATTGATTGTATCATTTTTATGGTGAGCCAAATATTCTGGGGGAGATGAAGGCACGGAGGCTCGGATGGCTCGGGCATGTAGTGCGTATGGAGCAGGATCGGGCTGTGAAACGGGTGTACGCGGGTGTACCGGACGGACGCCACCCCGTAGGGAGGCCCAAGTACCGTTGGTCTGACGCTGTGGAAGGAAATTTACGTAAGCTCCAAGTGTCGGACTGGCAAGGTGTTGCGCCGGGATGAATGGCAAAGCTTATTGTCGGAGGCCAAGACCCACTTCGGGGTCATAGCGCCAGCTCAGTAGTAGTAGTATGACTGTCCTGCATTTCAGAGGAACGCAAAACTGTTAATTATGTTGATCAGTAACTCTAAAACACTTACTTAATGATCATAGGTAATTATCGTTTTTAATCGCGCGGCTTAAGCATTTACCTTCATGTTAAATACATTTAAATTGCCAGTCGTAATAAATTGCGTCTAATGTTACTCCGTAAGCTTTGAACTTGAGCTAAAATAACGATTGTGTATTGGGACTCTATTGTCACGCCGGTCACCGTCCTCGTCGAACCCGTCGCTTGCGACGCGGTGCTCGATGAGCCAATTAGCCCACAGACACAGCCCACTGAGTTTCTTGTCGGATCTTCTCAGTGGGTCGCGTTTCCGATCCGGTGGTAGGTTCTGCGAAGCACTGCTTTTGCTAGGGCCAATGTTAGCAACGTTCCGGTTTGAGCCCCGTGAGCCTACCTACATGTTAGGGCGAAGCTGAAATAGCCTCTCAAGGCTATCAGCATAGGTAGGAAAAAAAATCATCACGTCATTTGATGTTACTAACCATTACTTTGGAAGTATAGTAGGAAGTAGTAGAAGAAGCTCGAGAAGATCCAAATCACAGACAAATAGTAAGATGTCGTATTTTCTTCAGCCTTCGCGAGTTGTAGATGTAATTAAAACTACTTTTACCATTTAGTCTCGCGTTTACAACTATATTCATTTAATGGTTTCCAAAGTTTTGAAAAACTTTACAATTTTCGTTGAGGCGAATAACTACGACGCTTTATTTTATTTTTGAATGGTTCATCTGATTTTAATTGGTTAAACGGAGACATCAACAAAGTAGATACTAACTTTGAAACATAGATTTCAATTTTGTAACTATACTGAGACTTTAGAACTTATATCTCAAGGTGTGTGGCGCATTTACGTTGTAGATGTCTATGGGCTCCAGTAACCACTTAACACCAGGTGGGCTGTGAGCTCGTCCACGCATCAAAGAATAAAAAAAAAGTAATTCGTGAATATATGTTAAATACGTATTTCATTATGAAAGTTAATGTGTACCTGCGGGATTCGAATCCAGCACAATCGCATCGTTTTATAGTTTTAGTGAAATTTATTACTGCCTTTTACGTTTTAATTCACAAAGAAAGAACTGATAGCGTCCTGAGGTTTGTTCGACTTGAAATCGTAAAGATACAAAATTTATTTTCGTGATTTTCTTAAATCAGTGTTAAAAAAATATAGTGTAGGGTAGTTGAGAAACAAAAACAATCTATAGAGTTGAAAAAGTCTCGATCTACAAAGTTAAGCTGCGCAACTCAAAACTAGATCAAGACAACGACCTCGGGTTTCTTTTTGATTTGCATTAAAAAGAAATCGCATGACTGAAACCGACAATAATATTTCATTCATTCATTCGCTCTCCGAAAATTGGCCAGGTCCAAACTTTAAGCGTCCCAAACAAGCATACATTAAATGGCTTTACGTTAATCCAGGTTCAGCGGCGTTCAGTCACTGGTTACGTTACTAAAGCCATGTACATACGTAACGATATACAACACTTACGTAATATATGTATATTGTGATACGTAATGATTGTGAAGACCTTAGACGAGAGATCGGTATCGGCACTTAATAAAAGGACTTGGCCATACTACCCCATGGGAAGTTTAATGGGAGTTATAAGCTTGCTGCATCTCGAAAAAAAATTACCTACCTCTCTTTTCTTTTCGTTCTATCTTTATCATTAAATAATAGTGGACAGGTTACACATAGTCATCTGGCCCCAACCGGGGATTCCCTATAATATGGGTACTAGAGACGGTTATATTTACGTCTTAAATACGTTCAGGTGATACATGTATAAATCTTAAACATCCGGACAAGGAAGGAGCAAACAGACTTCTTCATCACATGATCTTTGGCAGTGTGGGGATCGAAACCTGTACCCTTGGTACAGCAGTCAGAATAGTTCCTGCACCATTGGGTCTGGCCTACCGGATTCTTAAGCAACCACACTCGAACGCCTGACTTACACTTAAACTTCATAGTCTGTTTTCATATGGGCTGCCCAAAAGGATCGGTGTCAAATCAAATTTCGGGTGCTTACAACCGGGTTGGGTCTCACTGAAACTCATAGACATACATTTATTCCTATTCCACACACATGCTATAGCACAGTTACGCAAAAGTAAACCTATATCCTTTATGTGCGCTTGAAGAAGTTTTGTCATTATTTCAGTCGATTAACTAAGTACGTCAAATCGGTATCAATTTATTTTTATTTCTCCGTTGATTTTGTATGGGAGCAGCTCCAGATATGGCTGTTAGCAATAAGGCCGCCTGAATTAATTTATCAGACTACCCTATGAAGCCTCTGATTCTTGAAAATAATACGTGAAGCAAAAACTTTGTATCCCTTTTTACGAAAATTGCGCGGACGGAGAAGTATGAAATTTTCCACACTTCTAAAGAATACAGAGAAGAAGTGCACAATGCTAATTATTTTTTTTAAATAATGCAAAAAAGATACATTAAATCAATAAAGAAAACATTACACACCCTACCATGTATTTGACAAACACACGCATGTATACTATTTATTTATTGTCAAACTTTTGTTCTTGACGTCTGTGGTCAAATTGAGAATAGATTAAATATTGTTTGTCTTTATTAATATTTTTCTATAGTGTAGTCTTGGCGAAATTTGTGATTATAGAAGTATAATAGTCTTTGAAAATACGATCATAATAGTGTACAAACTTACAATTCCAATTAATTATAGTCGAATTTCGACTACTGCGGGACCTCTAGTTCTTGAAAATTCATAAAAACATCGTGCGGTCATCCAGCCAAACTAAATTTTATATTGACTATGTTTCATAATCGACTAGAAGATTGAAGAAAATATGCGGCATATTTTTATATCAAAATTAATATTCAGTCTTGGCGTATTTCAGGTGCGCCGCCACATAGTGAGAAGAATAGGTGCAGAAGTGTATTTAAAGAAGATGCCGTCTTTTTTCACATAGTGGGTGAGTATAATTTTATATTCCAAAATGGAATTAATTTAACTTTGATTAAAACTACAATGACAGCTTTTTTATTTTTTTCCAACATTTAAAACGAAAGTTAGGTTATATTAATTCTTTTGGTGTACAAAGACACTTAAATGCCAATCTCGTATTGTTTTTTTTTTAAAGATGGTTTTTGGATATGGTAACACTTCATTTTTTTGGCGGGATCGCGAGGAGTGAAATTGTGTGATTTGTTTTATTTTGTCTATTTAGTGTTTCTTCAAGTTTAAATGTGTAATAACGGTGGCTTATTAACTGTTTAATATCTGCTGAAATGTGGGAAAATGAAACAAAGCCACTGGACGTAACTTCTCGGAATCCTCCAAAAAGTCAACTGAAAAATCTCAGTAAATGACCACCATTTTACTGAAATTATATTTCATCCCATATCATCCCATATCATCTCATTTAATTTCATTCCAGTTGATTAATGTCTCAAATTAATCATCTTCATAAAAATAAGAATATAATTTAAAATAAGATATGACTTAAAGGTCTTAGTTACCAGGTCATAAAATCTCTTAAAAAACAAATAATCACTGCGAGATTAATGCTTCTATCACTAAAAGTAGAAGTACCTTATTTGTGGAGGTAGGTATATAATTCACTGCTTAGAAAGCAACAATAGTTGTAGTAGGCTAACTTAGTCCAGAGTCCTTACATGCGTAATGAATATGGCCATTAGTATCATCAAGTTATTTTTTTATGAAATTGGATTCAGATTTTTCAATGGTTTATACAACTTATGGTATCCATTAAAATTCTGTAGCTGATCGTTCGTATTGCCTTGAAAATTAAATATTAGAACTCTGTATTATCTGTTAAAATTCACGATTTCCAACATTTCGAGTATTTTAAATTTTTAATTCTTAAGCATTTCTAGGTTTTAACGGTATTATTTTTATATATATAACGGTATTTATTTAACGGTAGGCGACTAAGAGGCAGGAAACCGACCCGTTGGACGGACCAGATTCGTGCAGCCCTGGATACCACAGTGCACGATGCTCTGCACTCAGCTGCAGATAGGAACAGATGGCGGTGCACTATAAAAAACAATCTGTTTCAAGGCCATGACCACGACCCTCAGTAATGAGGAAACCGACGCAAGGAGAGGCAGCGACTTGGCTCTGCCACTGGCATTGCTGAAGTCCATGGGCGACGGTAACCACTCACCATCAGGTGGGCCGTATGCTCGTCTGCCTACAAGGGCAATAAAAAAAAAAGATGCTGATCTTCTAAAATATATGACACAAAATAGCATAAATCTCTGCTAGAGTTGGTCATTGTTAATTTGTAGCAGACGCTTAATTCTTCAAACCTAAACACCATGGTCTCTCTAATAAAAATACTTGGCAAGCTCCATTATACGACGCAGTAGAATAAGTAAGGAAGGGAAATAGATAGTGATGATTTACTCCCCCGACACCGTGGTCATTTGATTTGAGTAACTATTGATAGCACGGCATCATTACTTGAGAGACAACAAGCTTTTGCACAAATAACGGTAGCAGTCCGAGAGATACTAACCTCATGTCGAATAGTGGACTCAATAATTACTATTTATCTATACTTAATTTATAGAATGCTAATCGACTTGGCCAACAGCTCAACTAACCATCGGTCTATAAATCATATATTTTCTATGTTTTTTATTTCTTAGGTGGGTAGACCCACGGCCCACCTGGTTTACTGTTTACCGGAGCCCATAGACGTCTACAACGTAAATGCCGACACATACCTTGAGATATGAGTTCTAACTTGTCATAAAAAAAAATTTAATACAACGACTGCCGAAGTGCATTTCTGCTTCATGGTAGATATAACTACCCGTATGGACTCACAAGACGTCCTACCACCAGTATATAAAACCTTTCAAATCAACTAGCCATATATTATTATTACATATCAAATTTCTCGAAACTTTTTTTTATTGCTTAGATGGGTGGACGAGCTCAGAGCCCACCTGGTGTAAAATGGTTACTGGAGCCCATAGACATATACAACGTAAGTGCGCCACCCACAACCGAAACGCATTACTGCTTCACGGCAGAAATAGGCAGGGTGGTAGTACGTACCCGTGCGGACTCACAAGAGGTCCTACCACCAGTAAAGAGTTCCCCCACCAATAAACTTCACCCTGTATAGAACTAATTTACAGAAATATGTTGCTAAAGTTATTGTTGCTTCAATGATTATATAAAGTTACGTATATAAACATGAGTCAGCGCTCTGAATCTGCACCTGCTTCCGTCTGCATTCACCTGAGTTCATGCCGATGATATTTCGTACATGTCTATATTTAACCTCAATTCTTTAGTGTAATAGTGTAATGATCTATTATTAGAATGTTTGCTTGCCAATTTTTTTTAAATTATCTTCATTAATACTGCTTAGCGTATGATTCACCGCTTACTGTATAATTCAAACTGAAAATTGGGCACACCTATTGAGTTTTTGGTGCTCTACTTAAGACATTATGTCAATCTTACTCATATTGGAATCATAGTTATCCCGCCAATACTACACACATCGATGCTTAATAGCAACACTAAACAAGCCAACAGTTCACTGCTACTTAGGATAATATAAAAAAGGATAAGATTGTGTAGCAAAATAAGCAATTTTAAATGACTACTAGCTGGGTCGGTAAACGTTGTTTTGCCATATAAATTATTTCTAGGAAAGATAAATAGCCTAGATACCAACTGAAGCGCAATCTGCCAGGCTGATTTGTAAATCTAAACCATTCTCAAATCCATCTGAAGGTACACAGAAAATTTCATTAAAATCGGTCCAGCCGTTTAGGAGGAGTTCAGTGATAAACACACGCACATAAGAAATAGATATAAAGATTAACTGGGAACTTTGACTAAGGTGAAAGTCCCTTTTTTCCTATTTCTCGTTTAGCTGAATAGCCTAGACATATCTACCGACGTGTCTTCAATTACTAATTGAATAGACTAGACATATTTAACCACATATCGCCAATTACTAAAACGACCTTACCCCAACTTACATACTTCTAAATATTCTAAAAATCCAGTCAAACTAACGCGTCTAGAAAGATTAATTTGTCAAATAGGCGATCGTTTGAAATAGCGCCAAAGTCAATTAACAGTGATGTACTATTAGCCTTCAGCGAACTAGTTGTTAGGAGTTAGCGAATACGTATGACATTGGAGGTAGATTTCGTTATTACTTGTTTGCAAATACATTCTTAAGGTTGAAATTGTGTAATACACTACAATTCACACTACACTTCACTACAGTGAAGTATAAAAATATGATTAAAATTTAGTTAAGCTTTTGGCCAAAAGTTTTGGCGAGCCGTTAACAGAAATTTATAATTCAGTTTTGTTAAATCATTTTTTTTATTGCTTAGATGGGTGGACGAACTCATGGCCCAGCTGATGTTGAGTGGTTACCGGAGCCCATAGACATCTACAACCTAAATGCCGCCACCCACCTTGAGACATGAGTTCTAAGGTCTCACTTGTAAAAGTACAACGGCTGCCCTGCCCTCCAAACCGAAACGCATTACTGCTTCACGGCTGAAATAGGCATGGGCTCCAGTAACCACTTAACACCAGGTAGGCTGTGAGCTCGGCCACCCTACTAAGCAATAATTTTTTTTATTAAGATTATATATATATATCCTGAGCTTCATGTATTCTTCGTATTATTATATTTAGTATTTTATTAGATAATTTTATGTAAATACCTAACTTACGTTTAAAACTAATTAATTTGTCACATTCTTAAGTTAAATCAAGCAAAGTTATTGTATGTATTGCCACCGTAAATTTTCTTCCCTGTTCCCTCTTCTAGATATTCCTGTTCATACTCTGTTATTTCCGTAATGCTATATGCACAATTATTGTTCTATTTAGTTATTACACTTGACTCCAATACTATTTACTATGAATTTAAAAAAAATGGTGTACGATTATTTTGTTCGTAAATATTTATATTTAAAATCTTTATACAATTTTCCAGAAGATCTTATTGTTCGAATGTACAGCAGTACAATGCTATGATTGTATTAGATTTTTCGAGTATGAAAAGCGAACCATTACACATTTTATGGTTTACATTGCATATAGTATACAGCTTGTTAATCTGTGCAGAATCACAATTAGTAACGTTTTCCATTTACAACTGTACAAAACATTTGGGTAGAAAATTTGTACAAAGTTGTATTGTACAAAAAAAAAAAAACAATTAACGAAATAGGTTAATGCACATAGCTCTGGAATTTCTTCAATGACTTTTGAGAAATTTTGTACTGTTGATTATAAAGTAGCGTGTAAATTACTGTTTGATATTGACACATGAATACATATTAATTATAGTACAGAATAGATCGACGTTCAATAGCCAATCAAATATCAGCCCGATGTATTTAAGCAAACAACACAACAAAATTGCGAGTCACACAATCAATTCTCAAAGGAACACGAAGTTAGAGAACTGATGTTTTGTTCGATTACAGTAGTGGCTGAGCCAAGCTGAGGCGTTCTGGGAATCTGCAGGATTCCGTTTTCCCATGGGTCCTAAACTCAGGGTCGGATCCAGGTCAAAACCAAAAGCGTATTGTAAACATTCGGATTCGTGACCAAGTTTTGAGTTCGACTAGTTCTGAGGTCTTCAATTATCGCCGAATGAGTTTCCTGTCTGCCACTGAATATTTCGTAGTTAAATTATCCTGTACAAGTGTATTTGTATCTATAGGGGTCCGAGTTTAGAGAGCCATTGTCCAATGTAAGTGGAAAACAATTCTCACTTTTAATGAAATATTTTTTTTATTGTCCTTGTATGATGATTGGGCCATTTTATTTCATCACAACGTATTGTCTTCAAATACATTAGTTTTTTTTGTTACAAAAACGCTTATTGTCTATTAACAACATTTAAATTTTCACTTTTTTCGATAAGTTCTAACCAACATAACGGTA